CTCTTGTAGGCTTAAGAATGACCCTTACTACATCAGGAGTTATCTAACCTGGTGTAGCAGACGGCTTCCTTTGTTGACATGGCCGATTTGACAGCAGAAGAGAAATGAAAACTGTTTCTAGATGATTTTGAAAGGGGCGTGACTAATGCAAAAGAGTTAGCTGGTAGGCAAGACATTCCTCTGTCTACAGTATACAGAACTTTGAAGAATATTCAGTCAGGAGTTGGGATTGAGCACCGGGACAGGGAGGCCCAGGAAGTTCTGTAGGCCTACTACGACGTCTTGGTCAGTTTGTGAGTAGCCTCAGTATGGGAAAATGTAAAAACGTCGAGAATATCAGAAATAAGATGATTAATAGAGGAAGTCCTCAGGTATGAAATGAAACCCTTAGACAAGAATTACAAAGACTTAACTGGTTGAAAAGCGCGGACTTCCCTCACCATTGATGAAAGATGCACGAAAAGAAAGACGTTCAAGCTGGTAGGTCTCACGAAATCAAGTTTGGGATAAAGTTTTCTTTTCTGATGAAAGTTCTGTCTGGCTTTTCCCGAACTGTGTGAACATTTCGACAAAGTTACCGTGAAACCAATCTACCAACCCCCAAAATTTCACATGTGGGGTGGGATATTATCACGAACCCCACGATATTTGATCGATGTTTTCTACAGCCCAGATATTAACCTTATTGAGAATGTGTGGGGACTTAGAAATATAGAGGATGTGAAGAAAGAAGTGGTCGAATACTGGGATACGCTGTCACACGATTTCCTACGAACGGTTATGTACCTACAGGCGCATTCAGTCATGTATTGTAGGGCAAAGAGGTCTCACAATGTACTGAAAAGACACTTAGACTATAAGAATCATATCTCAACATATTCATTCAAGTAAAACTTCTATAGTTTACATATGTATTAGATATTTGCCGAAACAACTTTCCCAATAATTTCTGGGAATACTATACATGTACGTGTCACGTGGCCGACGGCTGTACATGTACTACCCGTGGTCATACAAAAAGTGGGCATTCAAGTAGCTATGATTACATAGGACAGGTTGTAAATATGGCCATCGTTTCCATTCACTTTCGAAAGTGTAACTTATATTAATCGCATATGCGGATGAATCCATGAATTTTCAAAGGGGGGTGTTCAACCCCATCCCTAGCCCCCTTACCATCTCACTCCCCCGCCCCCCAGGATCCGCCAATATATTGTAAATGTTTTCTTCGATGTTGTTGTTTAATTAAACTTCGTCAAGGTTTTGAGCTGTCTCACGTTTCATACACTCCTAAATGTTTGATTATGGGTAAATGGAAAATTATTTTATTGAGTATATATTTCACGATTCGGTGATAAAACTGCGTCATATTTATTGCCCGAATTGGTTTTTTAACGTGCACCAACCTATTAAGGTAATCAGTAACATATGGTGACAGGATCAATTTTACCACAAATCACCAAAGGTATTTTTGTGTTCGCTGATGGTATTGACGCAATGCATTGAATTACTATAATTGGCTTTTAACTCAACAGTGGCTGATAGGAAATGTTTAATTATAATGTAGTCAATATGACGTGAAATAAAAAAGGGATCAACATGTGGCTACAGTCACCTACATGTACAATTGATCCAAATTAACGTAAAAGTACAAAAAATGTTTAGTCCAACTGACCATAAGTTTTACAAAACCCGTTAATGTTTTCATTTATTTTTCAAGAGCATGTCGCATATAGATTAGTGTCAATAAACCTCCAGAACCACAGTGCCATTTTCAAGCCCTGTATCGCCTTCATTAATAAAATATGCAACTAACTAATAATCATATTAGGACTTTCATTCACGTTTGTACACGAATTCATACCTATTATATGGGTGGAAGAAGTCCTATATTTGGGGAGATGTTGCCTACAGTTCGGGTGCATCATATATATTTACGTCCATTAACGATAATGTATCAGAGCCAAAAACAAAGCTTTAAACTATACTATCCCCAAAAAGAAACGCATAGATGTATTGTACTTTGGAAAAAGCTATCAATTACCTATCGTGTTCAAACAATCGTCAAAATATGTAGCAAAAGTGTTAATAACATTTGCACAAGTAAAAAAATCGACTTTACCTGAAAATGTTTATTTTGATGAGACTTCTTACAAGGATTAAAAGGGGATCACCACAACGCAAAAGATATCCCCTTCCAGTTGAAACTGTGCAGCAAAGAGCATGCACTGTCTGGCTATAAAGATCCAGATTACTTTCGGAAATCGGCATTCGTTTTGAAGGAGTTTCAAGGTCAAATCACTATGCCACGTCTCAAGACGCTGCGACACGGAACATCGCCATTGAAAGAATGCACGCTGGAGATTACCAGTCTTCTGTTACTAGGCGTCTGAATGTTAGTCTGAGCACGATATCACGGCTTACAGCTCATTACAACCAAACAGGCATAACAAATGGTGTCGTCTCAGGACGCCGACCTTTCGATTTTCCACTAGTCTCGGGACGCCGACCTGCGGTTTCCTTTGAAGGTTAGGTTCTGATTAGGCTTAATTAGCGTTGCGGATAATCTACTCTAGATGTTTTGATAAGGTGAACTCGTCGCACATATCACTTCCAAATGATTGAAAAGTTTACAATAACACTTAGCAGAGTGCCAATATTGAACACTGTTCATATCTTGGGTATAAATATCTATGGAATGGCCAAAGGATTCACATTCGATTTCGAAATGGCAAATGCACAGCTCGATCAGAGATTCATCCCTACAGCTCGCGGCAGTCGTTACTTGGTTGTTGGCGGGTTCATGTACAGAGTCAGCAAGAGAAAACGAGTCTGGATATCTTGGATATGTCCTGCAAAAGACTGATGAAGACCGCTGCCGACAATTCGGAGACTACATGACCAACTTCTGGGTGGAGGGAGATCTGCACATGACGCAATGGAACCACCACAACACAGATGGGCCAAGAACAAACAACCACCTAGAAGGGTGGCATTCACGCCTGAAGAAATACGTCGGCAAGGCTCATTTTCGAGATTGTGTCGTTGCTGTTACGAGAACAGACCAACACCGAAAACAAGCTGGTTCAGTATGCGGCTGGCCAGAAGCGTCCGTCCAAGAAAAGGAAATACAGGGATTTGGAGCGACGACTGGATCCCCGTACAGTCACCACTGTAGCCCAAGATCGGTACATCCGGGTACTACATTTGCGTGATCGTACTGCCACGGGTGAGAGCACAGCAGCCAGGGTGTCTGGGCTTCGGAGGATATTCGGTTAAACTGTACGAAACAGGTTGAGAGAAATTGGACTGAAAGCCAGGAGATCCGACGTCGGCCCCGTGCTACGTCGTCACCATGGCGCTCAACGTCACCGTTATCTAAACTTGGTTGTATAGGCATTTCCTGCTTCTAAACTGATGCAAAATTCATGTACTAAAGTCTATTTGTGGACTAAAAATGTTTCAGTCTATAGTTAGCTGCTTTTCTTTTTTACGAATCGCCGCGTATGTTCATAAGAAATCTCGATAAAAATCCGTCTCAACCAAGCAAAGGTCTAAATCTCCAATACACGTGACACCTTGACATTAATCGCCATAACACATAGCCAGTCACTGAGCCGATCTAGAATATGATCTCTTAAGACTCATGTCACACTATAGAAGTGGCTTGTTCGAGACTGTAAAATATTTGTTCAATAAAATAGATTGAATTACTAGAATAGAAGTAAATAATACTCTCTGATTTGATTTAAACACATTTTATTCTTTCAAGAAAAGGGTTGGGCACAAGTTATCCAACTTAGAAAAAGTCCTCTCCCAATAATTACACAATTCATCTTACAACGATGTACACAAGTGACAAACATAGGCAAATTATAAGATATGTACAACAGAAGCTAACTGAGAAACCTTTTGTTTGAGAGATATAGATATGTACATATTTGAAAACATCAACTGTTAAAATATTGCAGCAATCAAAATTCAAATTAATGTCTTTTCGTCCATCTTTCAAAGTAAATTATGATAAATATTTATACTCTCTGATAAACCCCTGTATCGTATAACTATCAATTCAATATAATGGTACTATTTCATTTAGCACTTCATTGTAGACTTAGCAAGAATATATGGATAAAAAACTCTGTGAAATAAAGGATTATTCGTCCTTTTTTTCAACATTGATGCTATATATGAGGCATTACCCTTAGAATACATAAGAAGGATCGTCAGATTTACAATTGACTTCCAATTGCTTTGTGTGATAGTTGGCATGAGATTTAGATGAGAGGTCACGAAATTAAAATACAGTTTACACGAGGGAATGAGTGCCTTTTGGTTTAAGCGGATGCCTCAAATATTCTGGCGAGGGCATCTATTTTCACACATTGTACGTATATGGGCACGGAACTTCCGTGTTAATGGGGCGATGTACATCGCCGAAATATCACTTGGTAGGCGGAGTCGTGGGTTAGCCTAGTGGTTAAAGTGCTCACTCGTCACGCGGAAGACCCAAGTTCGATTCCCCAAATGGGTACAATGTGTTAAACCCATTTCTGGTGTCCCCCGCCGTGATATTGCTGGAATATTGCTAAAAGCGGTGAAAACTACACGCACTCACTAACTTCGTGACGAGTCCATGCTTCGATAACTAGGCTATTCCGCAGCCCTATATATGTAGCTGCTTGATAATTAGTCTTGATAATTCAGGAGCAGTAATGATGTCGAATGCGTGAAATCCCCCAATTCTTTTATGTTTTCACTGAAAATGTTCATTCTTCGTGTGAAGCATTTATTTCACAAAAGTCATATTACTGTCGTAATTATACACTCAGTCTGTTATCGGAAACTTGGATCAATTTGAACAAGCGGCAGCTGTTCATATTTACGCTAATCTCCAGCCAATACTGTGTCGATTATTGATTATTAACATACACTGCAGTTACGTACCTTTACATAGACATTTGCGTGGCACCAGGAATAACACGAAGTTAACATATACCATACGAGTTACCTCCCCTGTAAACTACGACGCGTTATAAAGCGGTGTAGATCAGGCGAGGCACCATTTGCAGAAACAGGCCAAAGATCTTACTCCGAAAACCAAGGTCCATCTAAGTCATCAAGGGTTTGTCTGCATCATCGAACATGCATACCAGTACATATTGCGTCCTCCTCGCCACAGCGATGTCATTAATCGCCGCCTCAACACCCTGCAGAGTAGACTCAGATCTGTGCCAGAGGTAAGTATTCATCAACTGCAATACATATATACATTATTCATGAATCATTCTAACGCGTGTATGGTGATTACGCTAATGTATTTGCGTTAGTCGGCAAGTAAAAGGGCGCGTATGGGATCGTGCGCTTTTCATATCTGAACACAATGTGGGTTACTCGTACTTCAATTAGATTGGGTTGTGAGTACGACTGGGTTTGGTTTTACGCCGCTTTTAGCAATATTCCAGCAACATCACGGCGGGGGACACCAGAAATGGGCTTCACACATTGTACCCATGTGGGGATTCGAACCCGGGCCTTCCGCGTGACGAGCCAACGCTTTAACCATTAGGCTACCCCACCGCCCCGGGTTGTGGGTATAGTTTTACGTTGCCTTTAACAGTACAGGGCCTGCTGAAAAGGTGTGTATCGTTAATGACACAAGAAAAAAATATGATGCATTTTTCTCCTTTGTTTTTCATAGCCATTAACGTGGAAAAGTGAGTGAGAATAGTTTTACGCCGCGTTTAGCAATATCACGGCTGGGGGACACCAGAAAGGTGTTTCACACATTGTACCGAACCCGGGTCTTCAATAATGGCGGTAATTGCCGGTAACAACATAGATGCAGAATTTAAACTATCTCTAAATGCCGGAATAAAATTAGCAGTAACATTAACGGTCCATGATTTCCATCTTTCGTTTTTGATCAAGATGGTTTTAAGTTTCAAGGAACCAAAATGGCGAAACACGTGCTATAAAACTTATAAGTAATGTCTAAACGTCGCCGCATTCAGAGAGGTAATACACCCGAGGAGTGAAATAAAACAAGTTGTTTTCCATAAAGTTTCAACAATATCGTACATTCCATCTTCTAACATGCCACTCCAAGAGGGAGTGAAAGGCATGACGCTGCATATCTACAGGAAAACATTTGTATGGAAAACATTCATATTTACCATGTTGCCATACTAGTTATGATGAATCCACTTCTAAAATGCCACTCCAAGAGGGAGTGAAAGGCATGACGCTGCATATCTACAGGAAAACATTTGTATGGAAAACATTTATATTTACCATGTTGCCATACTAGTTATGATGAATCCAAAGCGTTAAAGTTTGTTTACAGCAATATCCAGTTATATCAATAATCGAGATCTAGACGTTATCGCCCATTGTACGAGTTTTACAGTGACGTTACGTCAAGAGAACTTGCGTGTAACGAGAAGGGTTAGACCCAAGATCTTCCAAAAGCTCAGTCGTTATATGCTGCGTGGCATGGTTTACATATTAGTCTGCCTCACAGTCCCGTAACGAGAATTGCGTTATATGCTGCGTGGCATGGTTTACATATTAGTCTGCCTCACAGTCCCGCAATTGCATTCTCCGTGGTGTAGTGGTTAGAGCGTCCGCCCGGAGAGCGGAAGGTCGCGGGTTCGATCCCTGACCGTGTCATACCAAAAGACGTTAAAATATGGTACTTGTTGGTCCCTGCCTGGCGCTAGGCATTAATAGGTACAACAAGGACTGGTCGGCTCGGAGTCAGTATAATGTGTCTGAGTGGGGTATTCATGCTTCACTGCGGCATGGTATCCCAGTGGGCTAGCACTATAAAACCAGCTTAAGTCTGGGCTAGTACAAACAGCCGCACATACACATACACACGCATGCAGGTCGTCATATGAGCGAAATATTCTCAAGCACGACGTTAAACCCAATTTCACCTCACCTCACCTCAACTGCATTATTTTCCTTTCGCCTAGTCTGTGTCACAGTCCCTGAAAATCCGGGATAGAGAAAAATTAAAATGGGGTTAGAATCGATCTTCAGTAATCCCCGCTTGTCGTAAGAGGCGACGATATCGGGTGGTCAGACTCGCTGACTTGGCTGACACATGTCATCGTATCCCAATTGCGTAGATCTATGTTCATGCTGTTGATCACTGGATTGTCTGGTCCAGAATGGATTATTTTCAGACCGCCGCTAGTTAGCTGGAATATTGCTGACTGCTGTGTAAAACCAAACTCACTCACTCACTCACTCACTCGCTGACAGTCCCTGAACCACATTATTTCCCCTACTGCCCTTTCTCCAATGCTAAAACTCTGAATGAAGCAAGTCTAGATTTCCTCAGTTCTGAATCTCCCATCTCACTTCGGCTCCTTTACAGTTTAAATGGGTTTATTTGTTACTATCAAATCTATGCTTATTCAGAAACTAAGCGTTAGTCTACATGTACATATGAGCCATTTTTATGTTTGACTCCCGATACGATCCTGAAAAGTGTTACGGACAAACAGACAGATATATTAATTAAGTCTCACCTCATACAAATATAATATATACCAGTCACATGATAAAATAAATATGATAAGCCATCCACTATGGGATTATGAGAGACTATACACATAAAATATGCAATAAATATATATGCATAAATAATAGGGTAAAAATGGTTATTAAAGCTTAAGAGGTACATGTATATAAAAGTAATTTTTCTTACACCTAAGTTACGGAGGAGAGTCAATTAGTACGTCAGCGATGTGTACAAACCGTTGTCAGGCAAATATCATATTCCAATATGATTCCCCCTAACCTCGAGGCATTTGGACCATTTTTTGGTTAACTACAGCAAAATATACCCCTCCCGACTGATCGTTCAACCACACATGTGCGGGACTTTCATAATCTTTTAACAGGGTACCACGAAAGTAGGTTTCCAAGTTAAGGTGCTAACCATAATCTTTTGTGATAAGCCTGCGATGTGGGTTATTCGTCTTTTCCTAGTACCCTACCCATGTTTAAACACAAACAAGGACATCTGAAATGCCAGTGAATAATTGACGGATCGTATTTACATGAAGATTTTGACAACCGACTAACAGCTTCTAGAATGAAATATTCTCTGTTAGTTGACCAACTTATTCAAAAAGGGAGGCGGTTAGCCTAGTGGTTAAGGGGTTCGTTCTACACTCCGAAGACTCGGGTTCGATTTCCCACATGGGTACAATGTGTGAACCCATTGCTGGAATGTTGGTAACACGGCGTAACACTAAACGTACCACTATTCACAAAAAGGGAGGCAAGGGGAGTAATATGCATGTGCTTCATCTATTTATGAAGGTTTTTCTTACAGAAATTCTCAATTGGATATCTCATTTGGTTTGAGTGGTAACGTGTGGTGTGACGAAACACTCGCTCGTGCCCGAACAAGCGAGATGCCTGAAGTGGACTTCGCAGCTGCACAACATGTAAGCTGATCTGCCAACTCTCACACATTTGGTTTGAGAGTGACACCTTCTGCTTGAGACATTCAAGACACTCTCTCGCGACAAAACTGATAACTTAACCACTTAGAATCTCTCAAATTGGCCTGAATACATCGTTTTCTGAAAAGGGTATTTGAAATTATGCGTTTGCTCCAGGGGGGCGGACCTTGGACCTCGGTATCTCCATTTTTTTCTGGCTTGGGTCTGGAAGCTCTGGAGGCATACTCTGAAACGTTGGTTTGCACGTTGTATTTGCTTTGCATGTCGAAACATGTGAAGTTAATATATTTTCAAATAGATTAAAGATAGATTTGATAGACACGGACGGAAATAGGCTGGGTGTGTGTGGGGGGGGGGTACGATTCAGGGGCTGATACAGAGAAAGGGGAGTGCAAAGTTTTCACGAGTGTTTCAATGGTAATTTAATAATTTTTTCAGGACAGAAGTGTGCGTGTGTGGATGGGGGACCCTACACCCCCCTCTGGATCCGTCTATGCCGATTGAAGTAACTTCCATGTCGATCACCATTTTCAATAAAGGACGTTGACATTTCTTTCAAAGAATAAGTCAATGAAAGAATCACTGAAGGTGTCATATTAGCTATGTACGTAAAGGAAAACTGACAGCGCTCTTTTCCGATGCGCGTGGAATTTATTTTGTTTCTATTACCATGACAACCGAGGCTACTATTGATCCATGTTGTCAATAGATTATGTAACACTTCAGTCACGGTGTAGGACCACGTGCATGCTTCATCTTAAATTTCTGATTCCGATATTAGATCAATATCAGTCACGACATTTTGAAAATTTGCATTTAGAATTTGCTATTATCTGCGTTTAAAATCTTAAGAATCACGAATACTTTGCATAGGAAAATCACAACAGCGTTCTTAAGACCTTAATCAGAGCACGGACCCATCATGTTATATTCTGTTTGAAGACGGGTGAAGGGAGGGGGATGCATGTGGAATTATGTCGGTCATTTCTTTCAGATATACTCATGATGGTTGTCACCCCATTCAATATTTTTAATTGGAGAGGGGGTGGGGTGGAGGTATAAGGTGTGTGTGAGGTTGGGGTGGGGAGGGGGCTGACAACCATTATTGGCATGAGTATATATACAGTCGAGCACCGTTGTCTCGATATTCATGGGACCAAGAACAAAGTATCGAGTTATCCGAACTTCGAGACATCCGACCAGGGCATATCATTACATATCACTATGAAAGAAAACAAAACAAAAAGTAGATTTCATGTATATATATTTTGTATATGTTACAGTCAATGTCTACAATCCGGCAATGTGTACAATGACTGAAAGTATGTAGTATGTTTCTTTAAAAGAGCCGAAAGGACACCCCGCCCTGGTATATGGAATACAATAATCTGTTCTTTAGTATATTGGGTACATTCTTACAGGGACAGAGGTACCTGTTCGTCATGTTCGACCCGGACGCGCCTGTCCCTGGCTGCTCATTTCTCCACGCACTGGCGATGGTGACGTTCCAGGTAATTCGGTGCTTGAGCCAAGTGCTTGAGACGGTCAGTCATTACGATGAAGTCACTGTGTCGAATCCGCACATGGATGTGATATATGAAGCCAATTCCTGGTACACATCACTACTAGTATCCACACTTTGCGAGGCGGTGGGGTAGTCTAGTGGTCCAAGCGTTCGCCCTTCACGCCGAAGACCCGGGTTCGATTCCCCTTATGGGTACAATGTGTGAAGCCCATTTCTGGTGTTCCCCGCCGTGATATTGCTGGAACATTGCAAAAAGAGGCGTAAAACCCAACTCACCCACCCACCACACTTTCAGGTTCTGGTTCCCTCTCTCCCTACCTCCATCGTAATATCCATCGTCATAACACCTCGACCCTCCCACTCGCCCACTCATTTGGGTGTCAGTGTGATTTTTAACCCTGCTCTCAGCAACGTTGCCGTTCTATGATGACGGATTGTAAGTTTTTGAGCCGGGACATGATATATGAAGCTAATTCCTGGTAAGCATCACTACTATATAATATCCACACTTTGAGATTCTGGTTCTCTCTCTCCCGACCTCCATCGTCACAACACCTCGACCCTCTCACTCGCCCACTCATTTGGGTGTTAGTGTGATTTTTAACGCCGCTCTCAGCAACACTGCCGTTCTATTATGTCGGATAGTAAGCATTCGAGCCTGGACCAGTGTTTGACATCATGAGCATCGATCTACGTAACTAGGATACGATGGTTTGTTTCAACCAAGTAAGCAGGCCTGGGCACTCTATCCCCTTAATCGCCTCTTACAAGCATGCTTTAGTTCGGACCCATTCTAACCCGGATATTCACGTATATCAAGTGTCCCTAACGTCTCCTGGAAGGTATATACATGTATATAATAAAAACGCCAATTTCATGTTGAGTTTTGTAAATGTTGATTTCTTGTCATTTCCATCCGGGTTTTCTCATCCTTGAAAATATTCCCATAAAAATCGCATAAGGTTTGAAATCCTATACTGTAATAACATGGAAAATAGTACTTCTTTGATTGGCATTCTAGAGGTTAAGTAGATGAAGAATGAGGACAATTTTTAGGGATATACAACTTCTTTAATCTGTATAGGCGACGTTTCGACAAAGATTTTAATCTATGCTTCGCAACGACATTGCTTTACAGCGACATTACAATCTATGTCGAGACGCCGCCTATACAGAATAGAGAAGTTGTATATCCATAAAAATTTACCTCATTCTTGAAAAATAGTATCTAACAATTTTCCGATAACAATATACATGCTGTTATACATGTTGTTCAATTAATAACCTTGTGTTCTGTTTGTAGAATGGACAAATGAACACAGAAACGAGTTTTCTGGATTACAGAGCGCCTTCGCCACCCAGCGGCACCCACAGGTACCAGATGTATCTGTACGAGTGGGTCAGCAATGATGACAGTGTTACTTACGATCCCCGCCCCTTCAGCATTGCGAAATTGGAGACTGACAACAACCTTTCCCAAGCGGTAGCCGTGTTCCAATTTCGCGTCCCCAGTTAAACACCTGTTTAAGTATTTGTTTTACTCGAATAAAGTATTCAGAACGTGATAACTATGTTATTTTCCAAAAGGTTGCTTCAAAATTAAACATACAATTAAATGAATGAATACTTATTGAGAAAAGCGCGTCTGTTTTTCGTTAAATGTTTTCGAGGCAATTTAGCGTTACCGAGGTAAGGGAGTTCACTCTGGATTAACTATTGCTTCTCAAAATCGTGAGTTATCTCCCTTCCTATTACTTCGGCGCCATTTACTTAACAGGAAGGTTTGAACAGGCCGAAAACTTGGTATTGCCACACTGTCCACCACCGCTTCGTGGTCAGTATATTCATTGTATGTGATATAGATTTACATGTAATTGTACAGAGCATGTACACGTGAAACCATGGGACTTGTAACGCATACTGGCGTCTTAGCATTGTTTCACATAACCGAGAGCCGCAATGCAGGATCATGTCTTGACTGTAAGACCGAATCGCGGGTCTTGGCTACCTTTCACATAGTGCGAAAACCCCGTCAGTGTCAGCGTACAAGCATGTGTGCTTGAAAAAATATGACCCATCGTCGAAAAAATAGTTTTGGGACATCACACCGTCACCGTCACACGTTTTCGGATGGCAGTGTTAACTGGCTTTGTTTGTCGCATAGACACTGTTACTCCCAAAAAAGTTTCGATTGGTTCATACTCAACATATGATATCAGCAGTGTCGTCTTAAGTATAATATTCTGTTTGTGAGAAAAGATGGAGGAAAGTGTCCGTCCCATATTATAGTAGGCACATTAAAGATTTCAGTCAGAATATGTGGCGTGACAGAAGTATACAGAGGGATTTTACGAATGCGTCATTGTCTGCCAGAAAACAGTAAGTTTAACGTTCACGTGGACACTTTGAACATGGCTTTGTATACTGAGCATTCCACCATGGGACAAAATCATTATAAGAATTGAAAGTGGGATGCACTACGCATGAAACACTTGTTCTAGGCCAAACTCAACCTATTTGCACGACATATGCATACACATAATCATATTAACGTATACAATAGTCATTAATTTCACACCGCCATATAGCTGGAATGGAAAACTAAACTCACTAAAACTCATTCATTTCACTTGAAATCTGAAAGCTCTAATTTCCCGCGTGTTCGGGCATCTCATTAAGAAGTATTTGAGAAAAATTGGTCTCTACCATAAATTTTAACTATTATATGTGTGACAAATCGGCTGTTTTGTTTTATAATTTGGTGGTATGGTTTTGCTATTTGCAAATGATGCTGTAATGAAGAAATGTGTATTTTAAGAAACAACTTTGAACTTCGTAACTATATAAAATGTGTATGTGTGCAGACTTGGTCTCGTCTGCAAAAACAGTGCCGATGTAACGTAAAACTTCAACTCGACTCGTTTCACTTGAAACTAACCCTTTTGAGTATTTAAGTCAAAGAACTCCCAGAAAGCCTTTATTACAAAATCAGTCATGTCTGATAAATAATACTATTATAGTGATATCAGTGCTTAATATATTTAGTAATTTTACAAAATGATAAGGTTCTATTATTTATAATTATAATATTTATTTAAGTACATTTTCGAATGATGTTTATACAGTATCATCACCGTAATGTAGCCATAAATGAATAAATAATGTTGATTAACGCGCATTTTGTTTAAACCATTTTTATAATATCAGAATGAAATAACAGCACCGTCGAAGACAATTTCAGCTTTCCTTTTACTCTCTGTAGCACGGAAAGGTCGAAAGCTCAATATTATCCTGACCAATAGAGAGAGTTTATTCAGTAAAGGGGTACCGGCCATTATACACATTCATATACTGAAAGCCATTAAAAACGCAATTGGTATTGGTATATGCTGGTATTTGTTGTCCTGGAACTTGGAAAATTTCTATTGAAGATTTTTTTCCCTACAATACAGAGGAGATGTAGGGATAAAGGGCTGTTATTCTGGTCCCCGAGCATTCCTCTCACATGAACTTCAATGCTTAAAACTGAACCTTTGACATTTCTCGTAAACACAACCACAGTCATGAAACACGTTGTGCACGTGCATTACCTGCACCCAGGCCCTTTAAAAGCACAAGGAATTGTGAAACTCAATCACTTAGAGAAAATGCCACGCTTGACACAAGACGAAAGGAATCAGGCTATCGGTATGGTCAGCCAAGGTGCTTCAGATGTGATGATTGCCAGGCACTTTAATGTGCATCCATCCACTGTTGGTCGACTCAGACAACGTTTTCGGGCTACCGGAAGTGTTGCTGAGCGCCCGCGACCTGGTGCACCACCTGTGACGACAGCTAGACAGGACAGCAATAACCGAGTTCACACTTGCGAAATCGGTTCCAAACAGCTGCTGATACGGCAAGGAGGACAATTGAAACAAGACAGCGTCATGTTTGCGCCCAAACGGTGCGCAGACGCCTTGCTGCCTTCAACATCCGGTGTCGTCGCCCGCACCGTGGTCCCACAGACTTGCCAGAGAGCGATGGGGCCAATATTGGCAACAGACGAGCTGTCATTTTTTTCAGATCAATAGAGGTTTAACGTATCCTTTGCAGACAGACGTCAACGGATTTATCGACGTCGATGAGAAAGACTTGCGCCAAACTGTGTCCTTGAACATGATCGTTTTGGAGGGGGAGGTGTCATGATCTCGTGCTATCAATGCTAACTTCCGGTCCCAGATGGTAGTAGTTAACGGCAATCTGAATGCTCAACGTTATGTGGACAATATCCTTCGTCCGGCTGTACTTACAATGATGGATCAACACAGATGTTCACTTAAAACACATCTGCCAGTTACATTTACATACGTTGACATTTGTGTGAGTAAAGAAAGTATAAATGTCAAATTGCGTTTTTAATGGCTTTCAGTATATAAAAAAGTTTAAGATATGACATGAAGCGCCATAAAAGTAACGGAATGGATACCGATGTGTGAATGTGTACAAGAGATGTGATCATAAGATCAGCATGATGCAAAATACTTTGTACGTTTTTTCATAGCTTAGAATACAACGCCCTGGCTAGTATGAGTAGACAAGCATGACTTTGCAAATGAACACCAGGTTACATCGAAGTTCACCTCGCGCAGTGCTTTGATCGCTTTCTGAACCGGATACAGCTAAACAAAACCAAATAAACAGTCTGTGTCGCCTTAAGACAAATACGTCTAATAGTACAAACAAAACACCTTGTATCTTGTGTGAGGTTGTATATAAATTGTTCGATCAAGCAGAACATGTCTAAGAAAAGGCGTGTATATTACCGTGTTATTATTATTGTGTAAATTCACAAAGTATACAAATAAATTATGTGCAATAAACTACGTTTTAGGGATGCCACGATACATCGATGTATCGATACTTTTCCTAAGAGGATACATTTATCGATACATTCCAAACTGTATCGATATTTAGTTTTGAAAGGTTTGGTTTCTATATGTTTATGTATCGTTTACATTTTGCAATTGTATCATGATTTTAATGTTATGAGAGTTCTAAATGATTATTTTTCATGCACAAAGATGGGAAATTAGAACATTTTAATCTCTGAGAATAAAAAAATGTTAATCTTTTCATGAACAATTATACAATATGAAATATTAATGTACAAAATGTAACTAAATTTATGCAATAATGCCTCGAAAATAGGTATCGTGATACGTATCGAGTGATGAAACTTATGTATTATGACATCCCTACTACGTTTATAACGCACGCAGTTATAACGAACTGACGGATACAATGAACGAAATTTTGGCCCCGAGCACTGGTATATTTTATAGTCTGTTTTTTTTTAAAACATACAGATGAATTTCACTTTAAAGAAAAAATTAATGAAATAAAGTGAAATCAAAATTGCGAATCCTCATAATTTTACCTTGCCAATTGAACATTTAAATATCAGAATTTTATTCGCCGTAGGATAAATGTTGTTTAACAAACGATCATAGTTTCAAATCGCTACTATTGGTTTGTATTACAAGGGAGTATGTACATTAAATGAAACAGCGAGAACAAGTAGGGTTGGTTTCAGAAGTTTCAATTCGAATTTCCATCGATCTCACTGTCACTATAACTACTGTCACTGTCCACAGACATGATGGTAGGCCTCACTGTTGCATTGTCCAAACCATCCCGTTTCCAATAGGAATCTTCAACAGCATTTTCCACCTCAACGCTTTTCATCCTGTTTCAATAGACACTTGGTCCAAACATTCCAAAACAATTGTTTTGACGTTAAACAGTTTGAATGTTTTATTCCGTCTCCCAACTTCATTAATAACCACGCCCCAGATCATTTAAATGGGGTTCAGATCACACTGATACGGTGGCAACCTCAGAACGTCATGTCCATGTGATCTTAAGGGTTTGTCCACTTTGTATACTGGTCTTGTTTTGTTGGCTTTTGTGATATTATAGAGAACAGGTTTTGTCGTCTTTGTTGGAAATGTTATATCATTAGCTGTCAACCAGGGCCTAGATTTTCGAAGCTCTCTTAGCGCAAAGATAGTCGTAAGTTAATGTTAATATATGGCACTCACGACTATCTTAGCGTTAAGAGAGCTTTGAAAATCTTGGCCCAGGATACCATGTCTCCCTTCCTTGAGTTTGAGGTGGGTACTTTGCTTGCTGGGTCTTGTACGCTGTGATACGGGGCATTGTCCATAATCACCACAGACTTTGGCGACAGACCTGGAAGCAATTGCCGCTGTATCCATTCAACAAACACTTCACCGTTCATTTCTGTGTGGTAATCACAGTTATCCTTCGCTTTTGCCCTGAACACCAGGTCACAACCTGGAAGAAAGCCTTTTACAGCCTGCGTGTAGTATGATGAGCCTTTCACCTTTACTAATCGGTAGTTTCCGGGAAGCTTTACCATCTGATGACACCCACTGTTGTGCTGTGTGACAAGCGTTTACCCACGTCTCATCTAGGTAGACGATCTCAAAGCCTTCTTCACGTTTTTTACTTATTGTTCGAAGGTAGTTGTTTCTCAATTGCACTATATCTGTTCTTTCACATAAAACATGTCACCACATACTTTCTTGTACCTGTATCCAAAAGAATGAAGTAATTTCCATAGACAATGTTTTGTCACAATTAACAAGTGTTCTGTTTGCATGTATTTCTTTATAAGTCGCAATGAAATAAACTTGTTGTCAACAAAAAACTTCTTGATAGCGTTCCGTACAAGTTCTTTATGAAAGCTGTCCAGTTTATCAACCTTTCTTGGCCTTGAGACGACCCCTTCTTCTTTGTTATCGTCTGTCTTATGCTCTCTCATTTGTCCTAGATATTTCATTTTGGTTTCAGAAATTCCAACCGCTAAAGCTGCCCTCTTTCTGTATTTAGAGATAGAACAGTAAACTCTCTTTCTGTTACTTTCATTCTTACAAAGTTCATACACACGGAAGATGATCGCCTTCACGTCTTCAGTGAACTTCATGATTAGGCCGTATTTACCATAAACCTAGTACAATGGTCAATTTATTGACTTAATGGTGTGAATTTACTTGTTTCAAAGTCCGAAGCTGTAATAATTCTAATCATTAGATATTAGCAATTGTATAACATGTTGTATTTAAAAGAAATCGAAAATATTTTCTTATCATAATTTCCATTGAAAAACTTTAAAAGTGATATAATTATTAGGAAATGTACTGTAGTCTAAGTTACGCTCATCAGGGACCGCACGTGCCTTTGTTTCAATGTTCCAACTACTGCGCTTACCCCCTTGTAATACAAACCAATAACAGCGATTTGAAACTATGATCGTTTGTTCAACAACTTTTATCTTACGGCTAATACAATTCTGGGATTTAAATGTTCAATTGGCAAGGTAAAATTATGAGGATTCGCAATTTTGATGTTTTACTTTATTTCATTTACTTTTATCTGAAGTGAAATTCATCGGTACGTTTTCAACGCAAAAGACTAAAGCTGAAACTGAAATTTGTGCCCTCTCGTTGTACTGTGAAAGTTGCCTCAGATGAAATATACACGTCGTTTATATTTGCAACCCGTTGTGCACAATCATCACGTGTATCACGTGGATTTGCTACGTCAGCAGAACATCCCCAATACCCAGGACCATGGCAGTTTGATCAGTTTAAGGGACCGAATTATTGCAATTGAGGCAAGTTGTCAGTTTGATAAATGTAAAAAATACGTAAATGTTCTGACGTAAATAACAGACGTCTAATGAAAATAATAGTTTATGTTGTTGTTCACGCGTGTATGTTCATTGCCTCAAGTCTACTGACTCATGCGCCGTAGCCGTGGTACATTACCCTCACGGCCATTCTGATTTCGTGAAGTACTCGGTATTGTTAAAGAATGTATCTGAACTGAACTCACCGTTTGAGTCTCATGGGTGCTTAGCAGGTAAAAGTTCCTCCCGTTCCCCCATCCCACATAATATGTATAAGTATTCTAGAACTATAAACAAAGCTTAACACAACAATTACTAGAGAACTCACAAAATGATTAAAAGTCCAAAATTTAAGTTAGGGCTAGGTTTAGGGTTAGGTTTAGGGTTAGGTTTAGAGTTTGGTTTAGAGTTGGGGGAACGGAAGGAACTCTTTCCGCTTAGCATATTATGATATATTTTCGTTTGGTTTGTTTGTTGTTTAACGCCGCACTCAGTAATATTTCACCTGTATTCTGTAAATAATCGAGTCTGAACCAGACAATCCAGTGCTTGACATCATGTGCATAGTTGCTCATAATTGGGATACGGTGACATGAATCAACCAAGTCTGCCAGTCTGACCTTCTGACGGGGGCGGTGGGATAGCCTACTGGTTAAAGCGTGCGTTCGTCACGCCGACGGCCCGGGTTCGATTCTCCTCATGGGTACAATGTATGAAGCCAATTTTTGGTGTCACCCGGCCGTGATATTGCTTGAATATTGCTAAAAGCGGCGTAAAACCATACTCACTCACTCCGACGACCCCTAACTATGTGACCCGAGTGTGACCCGAGTCACATACAAATTGGTGAATAAGAAAGTTTCCTTTCATGATTACATTATAAACTATATATATAAATGCGCTGTTAGGGTCATTTACCACTGATAAGAAATCTTCGTCAACAGATAAAGCCCACGTGAACATTGACCAGGACTAAGATGTTTTCGACAGGACTTATTGTCGTCTGCTTGCTGCAGCTGACTGGCAGGTCGGACGCTCTCATCGCGGGCTGTAACGTTGACAACACCCTCTGCACGAACCCATCACCCCCCAAGTTGGATATTTACTACTCCGGACACCAGATCACGTGTAACACTCTTCTGCATATCGGAGACGTTACCCAGGCGCCACGTATCGAGTTCAAACAAGGGAGGGAAGTGAGTATTGAAACATTGAACTGCCGTGTAAAATGTGGCATGTACATTTGACAGATTTTCTTTTCATTCTCACCACGGAGATCCGGGAAAGAATTGATCTTCAGTAACCAATGATTGTCGACTAGCGGGATCGGGGGGTCATGCTCGCTGACTTGCTTGACACATGTCATCGTATCCCAATTGCGTAGACTGATGCTCATACTGTTGATCACTGGCTTGTCTGGTCCAGGCTCGAGTATTTACAGACCATCGCCAAGCAACTGGAATATTGCTGAGTGCGGCGTTAAACAACATTATAAAATAAAATATCATTCTCTCCTGGAATCCCCAGTCCTACCACACTGCGGTTGGGTCAGGACATTATCCTAACCAAATCACATGCATGTCTTGGTCAGAGTTGTGGGAGGTGTGGCACCATATGAGGGACGTTGGACACGAGATGAGGGAATGCGGGGCGCTATGGTAGGAGGTGCATTATGTGATGTAACAGAATGGTCTTAACATCCAGGTTTATTCTCCAATACTCGACACGATTGGCAAATGTCGCAAAAAAATCACTAGCCAGTGGTTGATAGTGCGAGTACTTATTTTTTATTACCCTTAGCCACGCAGATCCGAGAGTTTCAAGCAAACATAGTGGTCAAGTATTACCTTGCCACAACAGACAAAACGACATTGGTGTTACAAGGTCACTCGAACGACAGCTTCTTAGTATCTTGGGGCGGTGGGGTGGGGTAATGATTAAAGCGTTGGCTCGTCACGCCGAAGACCCGGGTTCGAATCCCCACATGGGTACAATGTGTGAAGCCCATTTCTGGTGTCCCCCGCCGTGATGTTGCTGGAATATTGCTAAAAGCGGCGTAAAACCAAACTCAGTCAGTCAGTCTTAGTGTCTTAATATTGTCATGCTGAAAACACGGCTATTGGCCCCAGGTTTCGTTAGATCAAAATAACATGGCGTCATATTTTGTATCAGAGATGGAAATGAACACTGACCCCAGATAAGTTTTTACACAGGGTCAGCATAAAGCAAGATGTTGGTCAAATCGTTTATTTTGCATAGACTCACTACATTCTCTTGACCATCGGTAGAGTAAACCTTGCCTGGGTTAACCGTTAAACATTGTAACTAAACTCAGCGACCCATCTCATAGAAGTAAAGAGAATGGAGTCGTGTTTGATGGACCTGGGCGCCGTTTAACAAAGCTATCGTAGCACTACGACTGTCGTACCTCCTATACTGTCTGACTGAGTTTAGTTTTACGCCGCTTTTAGCAATATTCCAGCAATATCACGGCGGGGGACACCAGAAATGGGCTTCAAACATTGTGTCCATGTGGGGAATCGAACCCGGGTCTTCGGCGTGACGAGCCAACGCTTGAACCACTAGGCTACCCCACCGCCCCTCGTACTTCCTATACTGTAACATAGACTTACGACAGTCCTTGCGCTACGATAACTTGTGAAACGGGGCCCTGTTTGTTGTCAGGGAGAAAGTTACGTCCTTGTGTTCGCTGATCCAGACGCTCCATACCCGTGCGCAAACTCCGACGGTAGCAACTACCTCCATTATGCTGCTGTTGTGACACAGGTAAGCGAAACATCTCGTTGCAGTAAGGCAATAATGTTTTACGAAATACATGTACACTAATCCGTTCTTTCTCTATTGAAATCAAATACAAACACCTTTGTATTGACTTTTATTGTGTCGAAGGTTCGGTTGTCTCGAATTAAAAGCTTGGTCCATGCATATTCCTTATGTAGTAATCATTTTGCCGTTATCGAACATAAAGTACCTCAAAGACTTTACGTATGTCCCTCGGACTTCGACGATTAACGTTGCTTGGCTGTAGGTGGTTTGTAAACAGGTCTCTACGACAGCTGAATGTGATATTATATATTTTTTGTGTTTCATGGTGTAGGTTAAGTACAATGTCTAAGATTATGTTTGTTTGTACCTCTGATTGACCCATTTATCTGTCGTATTTGGCCGTTTGTGTTTCTGTTCTGTTATCGCTAGGCATATCTTGCTGCAACTTCAGTGTGTCTTTGTGCACCTCTGTAATGTTACACCTGATCCTGAATTCAGTCTAGCAGTAATAATAACCAGCAGTTGATATATATCCACACTTGTTTGTTCCGCAGAAGAATGGCGAATTGCAGCCATCGCAAGTACTAGTTCGTAAGTATTATTAAAATATATATATCGCAATAATAAGCTGCAGTTTTGGGGAGTCTACACATTCTTGGAAAAGTTCCTGATGGGTTTCACTAGGCAGCGCCTCCCTCCTCTATCACGGTCTGGTCTGCGTTTTGATGGGGCAAGGTCTGTTGATAATGAGCAGGGCTGCCAGTATCGCCTGATCCCTCAATGCTGCATTTCTTGATTCCAATCTGTCGTTATGAGAAATAATACCAATAATAACCGCAATGCCATGCATTAAACATGCACAAAGACTACGATATTGCACATCAATGGGTCAGAGTATCAGCTTTCCGCAGAATATAACCCACACTTGCCTTACAAGGCACATTACGATTTCGTCATGAATGGAGGCATATTTCGAACAGTCACTTGCATGTTTATAATTAACATTTAAACTGATAGTCCTGTTTTACATAACGCGAAGACAGATTGGCTAGGTTGAACAAGGAAATTTACTAACATGTCAGGAGAATGTCAATTACATGAAAACAAGGACTTCTCAACCATTTGTCAATTGAGTATCGACATCCACATTTTTTGTGTGAACTAGAAGAGACTCACCTGAAAGACCTTTGCACCTATTCATTGGTATATATATCCAATTCTGACAGTATCTGTTCGAAACACGAACGTCCACCTTCAAGGACTGGCTGAAACAGATGGAACCCTCACCTAGAGGTGAGGTGAAATTGGATTTAACGTCGTGCTTGGGAATATTTCGCTCATATGACGACGTGCATGCGTGTGTATGTGTATGTGAGGCTGCTTGTACCAGCCTAGACTGAAGCTGGTTTTATAGTGCTAGCCCACTGAGATACCATGCCGCAGGGAAGCATGAATACCCAACTCAGACACATTATACTGACTCCGAGCCGACCAGTCCTTGTTGTACCCATTAATGCCGAGCGCCAGGCAGGGACTAACAAGTACCATATTTTAACGTCTTTTTGTATGAGGCGGTCGGGGATCGAAACCCGCGACCTTCCGCTCTCCGGGCGGACGCTCTAACCACTACACCATGGAGGCGGTCCCCTCACCTAGAGGATTAGTCTGTCAGAACAGAGGAGACACTTATTGCTGTTTTAAGTTATAATATACTAAGCAGCAAAAGAAACGTCACTTTGAAAGTTTCCTTCGCAGAAACGGATAACTGTAAACTCATTTAATGTTTTGATTGTATATTTATGGCAACATCTAATTTACCTGAGCAAAGACATTCCTTCCCAGACTCAGAATGGAACCCAGGAAATGGTCTCAAAAACGCAACCTGATCTCGGAGATGGTACGGTGTTCTCCATGTGTTTCATGCAACTCATGCTGCACGTGCTATTCACAAGGACCAGCCCTATAAAATGCACCCCAAGACCGGGTTGAAACATTCACATTACAACGTCAGCAGGATGCCGCGACTCACGACAGCTCAGAGGAACCAGGCGCTAGGAAGACTTGAAGCTGGCCACACTGCACAAGCCATTGCCAATCACTTCCAGGTCAACGTTCGGACCATCTACAGGCTGCAGCAACGTTTCCGGGCCACCAACACCACAAATGATCGTCCCCGTACTGGCAGACCAAGGGTGACCACAAGACGACAAGACCGCAAGACAGCCATGTTGTGCGACAGCATGTACAGAATCCCTTCATGCAGGCAACCGAAACAGCAAGCCAGACAGTGGGAACACACCGAAGACCAACCAGTACTGATACAGTACGCCGACGTCTTAACAGCGGGAACCTCCATTGAACCTCCTTACCGTGGACCTATCCTCACCCCTCGTCATCGGCGTAAACGTCTTCAGTTTGCCCTACAACACCCAAACTGGCGATACAGGCAATGGAGAACTGGTCTGTTCACAAATGAGAGTCGGTACTGCGTATCAATCAACTGCAGATGGCAGAACAAGAATATGGCGACGACGTGGCCAGCGTTACTCAGACCAATGTGTTATGGAAAGACTCATGGGGAGGTGCAAGCATCATGGTATGGGATGGAATAGGCCTGAACCAGAGAGTGGGTCCTGTGGTGTTCCAGAACCTTGGTCCAGGGGAGAGGAGCCGGTATCACAGCGGTGCGCTGCATCGACCAAGCTCTCAGACCCTACGTCATACCACATTTCGCTACACAGGACTTCCTACAGCAGAACGGTGTCAACATTATGAAGTGGCCAGCCCTTAGTCATGATTTAAACCCAATTGAACATCTTTGGGATGAAATTCAGAGGAGACTGAATAATATCATACCAAGGCCGAACACAGCCGATTTATTGCGCCAGGCCTTTTCTCAGAGTGTGGTTCCATGTGCCAAGGGCCTTTATCAATCGATTGGTGCACTCCATGCATAGACGCTGTGCTGCAGTTATTGCCGCTCGTGGTGGTCACACTAGATACTGAAGTCAAGGGTCTGAATGGACTACAAACGTTCACGTAACGTCATGGAATTGTGCTGAGTTATTCATTGATGCGTCAGGATATTGTACACAAAATATGTTTTTGATCCGCTTATTATGTTCATTTCTGTAATGGTTTGATTACGGTACCTATCTAATTTTGAATTCGTACTGACGTTGTTTTTTTTGCTCATTAGTATATTTTCTAAAGGGATGGAAAGTCACAGACAACCCATAGGTAGAACATGAGATATGGTCTCCACAAATGTGAATACATACCATAGTATGCATGATAAAAAGAAGAAGAAACGATGCAACAATATTGCGATTTAGATATATATCAAAAGAAGGTGTATGCGATCTTCCAGGGTCTATATTTTCGAAGCTCTCTTATCGCTAAGATAGTCGTAAGTTAACGTTAATGTATGGCACTTATGACTATCTTAGCGCTAAGAGAGCTTCGAAACTCTAGACCCAGGACATTTCTGCAAGCAGCGATCTCACACTTTTGTGACAAAATATGCAACCAACTTTTTAACATATATGCTTTACATATTACTTTCATCATGAGAAACAGATTTGTTTGTTATGTTGCTTATACTTCTTATTGATTCTTTTCTACAAGTACAATGTCGGGTGTTTTTAAAGTAGAGTAGTTGTAATCGCGTGAAACATTGAACCGAACCGATAGCTTAAAATGACAATGTCCATACGTTAAGCTTCACTATCAGCACTTTCTGTTGACACGAGGTCTGCCCATTGTACAAACTTGGGTTTGCGACTGTTTGCATGACCATCCATTCATCTGACCAGAACGTAATTTTGTCACCATTCCCTTTCTCTTATCTGGAGGGGAATGACAAATCGACAAAACATGTCGGACGCATGTGTAGTCCACTATCTGCTTTTTAAACTGGTGTCTAAGAGCAGATAGTCTTGTTCTATGTCTGATGGAGTCTCTGTCCAGTATGGTATGAACGGCAGATGCGATTCTCGAAAACATCTATTATGATTATGAATATTTTTCATAAGGATAGTCTTTTATGGCTAGTGTGGTATGAAACATAGATGCTCTCCTCGAATTGTTTTGTTATTATGATAATATTGCACAAGGATAGTTGTAAAGAGAGACAGAACAAGTCGTTTTAAGACTCTCGGACACTGCTTAGCGAGTCAGCTTCACTGGGTGCCGTTATACAAAGCAGCCATAGTGCTTAGTCTGTGTTAGAGAATGGGAGTTACGATTGGGGCATTATTATTTTTGTGTTTCACTTAGCCACCAAATTCCTTATGTATCCTAGTAAGCACTTCCTTATATGGATGCATATAATTCCTTGTTCTATCCAAACTATGGATCGAACGACACATTGCTTAGTTGCGTATTACACAAGGAACCCAACACGACAACATTATCTATACAGTCCGTCGATTTACTTCAGACGATCATCGGATCTATTTATAATGGCTGTCTTTGTGACGCTATGCATGTCTATTAGGTTACCACTAGCCTCATGAATATTCCTAGGACACCTGTTTTAAAATGCTGAAATGTACTATTTTAAACAATTCTCCTCCCACTAAGACCAACAACCCTCGCATCCTCAATTCTCAGTATTCAAGAAAGATACTTGTGTATCAGCAATGCCGTCTTAAGTGTTAAAAAAACATGCGAAAATATTATGTTTATGAGAAAGATAGAGGAAAGTGTCCGTCACATATATTGTACATAATACACATTTCAAGCATGACAGAAGTATAACAGAGAGATTTTATGAATACTTTATGAACATGAAGTTTAACTTTGATGTAGACGCTTTGTATACTGAACATTTCAACATGGGACATAATCATTATGAGCATTGAAAACGGGATGCATTACAAATGAAACACTTGCTCATACTTGTCCAAACTCAACCTATCCACGACATATGCATACACATAATGCATACAACAGTCATTCATTTCACTGGAAAAAATATGTGTGACATACTGTCGACTAAAAGACAAGTACGTCTAATATTAGGGTAAACTGTTCGATCAAACAGAGCATGTCCAGAGTTAATAGTTCCGTTGTATAATTGTGTAAATCCTCAAAGTATACAAATAAACCATGTACATTAAATTACGTTTATACGCACGCAGTTTCAACGAACTGACGGGTACAATGAAGGACATTTTGGCCCCGAGCACTGGCATATTTTAGTCGAAATTCATATAGCGAACTACAGTTATTACGAACTGTGCCTCATGGATATCCCAAGGGCACCTGTTTTAAGATGCTGATGTGTACTATTTTATACAATTCTCCTCCCGCTAAGACCAACAACCTTTGCATCCTCAAGTTCCCGTATTCACACAGGCACTAACTGATGTCACAAAGTCCTCTTGAAATGCTTGTTATTAAGATACAACATCTGTGTTGCACATCTAGGTTACCGTGGCCCGCACCCACCAAGAGGCACACACCGGTACCAATTCTATGTCTTTCCCTGGACATCCAGTCAGAGGCCAGTGCTCCACAACTCGGACCAGTCGAGAGGCCACTTCAGGCTCAACCAGTTCAAGGCGGAAAACAGTTTGAATGAACCGGTTGCGGTGTTTCAGTTGAAAGTCCCGCACACATAATCTTCAGCTGAGATAATATCACGTTGTATTGCTCTTGGAAACTACAAATTAAAAGATCTCTTAAGTACATATATATTAAGATTGCTTGTGTTCGCGAGATTAGCATAGTAGACAAATGTGCAATTCGTTTCATGGTAATCCCCTCCAATATTCCATCAATATAGTTGCGGCCAGTAAATGACCAGACAACCCAGTGAATGACATGATAATGGCATAGACCCCCACTGGGTCAGGAAATCGACACACTAGGCCCTGGATTAGTATCCACACCCCCTACTATATGATATCACAGAAATACGGTGACATGATCGAAAACCGGACAATTACGCACACGTCAATGAATATATCGTATTTTAAAGGTCTCACCAGTATCAAAAGCTTTTGTGCATATCTCTGATGTGTGTAGGTGGCATATACATGCGCTTTCCGTGGGGATGCATTTGATGGTGTTTATTAAATCCCCAAAGACCGAGTTGCTGTGCCGGAAGTATACAAAAATAGGTCGTCAGCGCTTGACTTCACTACCTTCCGGCGATATCATTGGCTAACACATTACACTGAATGAATGGATTATTATGTGTTTCTTTAAAAAATATTTCTATTCGTTTTTAAATTTATTCTTACCATGATAAAACATCAGACCGTGACATCTTGGATGAAAGACGTTTGAGTTTCCCTCTCAATTTCGCACGTGCATTTGTTGTCATTATATTAACCAATTTGATTGCGCAGACCACCTAGTTTTGTATACTTCCGGCAGAGCAACTCGGTCTTTGGCGATTTGATAAAAACCAACAAATGCATCCCCACGGAAAGCGCATGTATATGCCCCCTACACACATCAGAGAAATGGACAAAATCTTTTGATACTTTTGAGACCTTTAAAATACGATATATTCATTGACGTTTGCGTAAATGTCCAGTTTTCGATCATGTCGCCGTATTTCTGTGATGAACCTATACATATGTTATAGTAGGGGGTGTGGATACTAAAGCGGGGCCTAGTTTATCGATTTTCTTACCCGCAGTGGGGGCCTATGGATAATCGGTCAATTCAATTCAGAATCAATGACATGCATCGAACAAGTCAGTCAAGTCAACCAAGTCAGCCTGACCACCCGATCCAGGATGTCGCCTCTTACGACAAGATTGGACTTGCTGAAGACTCCGGGGTCTTAACGGGATTCAGTTTAATCAAATGGACGAACGATAAAGATCTACTATATACCTTCCTAATTGATAAGCAAGAATTAGGATGTTTGCAGTTATACAAGCTGTGTGCAGTTATTGTTAAACAATTTCACAATTCTTTTAACAGGACAAACTATAATTACATTTGGGCGGTGGGGTAGCCTAGTGATTAAAGCGTCCGATCGTCACACCGAAGACCCGGGTTCGATTCCCCACATGGATACAATGTGTGAAGCTCGCCGCGATATTGCTGGAATATTGCTAAAAGCGGCGTAAAACCTCACTCACTCAATATAATGACATTTTCAGATTAGAGGAAAAACAATTCTTTATGGGCACAATTAATCTCAGCAAATGTTACACAAATTGACATCAGTTGACAGTTGTAACATTGGTTATCGACATGTTAAGCTGTAGGATTCAACTAGACGTAAAGATTATTTATAATGTTTCAGTATGTTTGGTAAAGCTACACCTTAATTGCAAAAAAGTATTGATTCACCTAAGGGCATCATTTTATTTTATGTGTTTCATGTAGCCACCAAATTCTGAACATAGGTCGGACGGTCGGCGAAAACTAAAAAAAAAACTAAAACAAACTTAAAAAAGAAAAAAAATGCCGAATAGTGCTCTTTATTCTCATTTATTGTACTCGTTATTACATGAGTTACACTAAGGTGGCCACATGCATGCACCATGTATAGAGGTGGCCAGGCATATTCTTCTTTACAAATGCAACTGATTATTTCTTTGTTTCATGGCAAGAAATACATACTTTGCTAGACTATTAATAACATCTAGGTTTTGGGATGATAATAGCTGATAAAATGTGGGATATGTTGGATTTACAATATAATATTCAGGTAACAATTTTATCAAATCCGACAAAAAATGGACATATTAAGCCGAAATGGTACTCTGTTTCAATACAGGAAACAATATAGATGGCAAAATCGTTAAGTTGATCTTTAGCCATGTGATTTTTTCTATCTTCTTCTATCATTAACCTGTGATTTGAACACCTAAATTTAGTAAGGGCTATTTCAAATGAAGTAACATTCACAACTTACGAATATTCTTCCCAACATATTCCTTCTTTAGAGATTGAAATACAATACGTTTGGGAAACGAATATATTAATTCAAACCATGTCTGTTGATCTATTGATGTATACCTTTTTTAAAATCAAGTAAGAACTTATTTATACAACTTACATCCTTGATGACCACCTCCGTGGTGTGGTGTAGTGGTTAGAGCATCCGCCCGGAGAGCGGAAGGTCGCGGGTTCGATCCCCGACCGCGTCATACCAAAAGACGTTAAAATATGGTACTTGTTGGTTCCTGCCTGGCGCTCGGCATTAATGGGTACAACAAGGACTGGTCGGCTCGGAGTCAGTATAATGTGTCTGAGTGGGGTATTCATGCTTCTCTGCGGCATGGTATCTCAGAGGGCTAGCACTATAAAACCAGCTTCAGTCTGGTCTAGTACAAGCAGCCGCACATACACACGCATGCACGTCGTCATATGAGCGAAATATTCTCAAGCACGACGTTAAGCCCAATTTCACCTCACCTCACCTACATCCATGATTGTAAGTTATAATAACCGTGTCCAATATTTTACAATTGTTATATATTGTTTAGTTTTGATAGATAAACATCCATAAAGTTCGGTTCATTTCTACCAAGAAAAAGAATTTGCTTTAAGAAATTATTGTGTACTCTGTCCGCATCCAATCAGGGATGAAATCCCCATCTTTCTGAGCCGCAAGCTACAGTTGGGAATACTTTGTGGTCAAAGATGTTGAGAAGAACAGATAATGTTAAATTCTGAAATGTGATTTCTGTAAACGTAAAATATTTAACACTTTCTGGATATGACAAAGTTTTTTTGTGTTATCTGCCATGACCCACTGCATGAGAAATGAACACTCAAATATTTGTACGAAGACACAATTTCTAGTTGGGTATAATTAAAATAACGTTTTTCGAATTTCTTTAATCCACCACCTTTCCTGAAAACCATACATTTAGTTTTACTAATATTGACGGTTAAAGACCACTTTTTAGAATATATTGATAGATTATTGAATCTATTTTTGTAAACCTGGGACAGTGCTATCAAACAGTAACATATCATCGGCCAAGAGTAACATGACAAGTCGACAGACACCAAGGTCAATGCATCTATCTCCATCAACACCAAGAACTTCAGTAATATCATTAACATACAATGAAAATAGCAGTGGTGATATTTGGCAACCCTGTTATATTCCGCTCACACAGTCAAACAGTTGTGTGTAGCCATCTTGCAATGATATACATGACTGAACATTTGTGTACATATTTCTAATCAATCTAAAAAAATTACCTTCGACATTGCCAGTTCAATGTTTATACGTCAAACTATTGATGGAATCCAATGTAGCTAAGATACATAGCGTTCACTGACATGAACGCTATGCAGCACCTCCATAGGCCGCAATGGTGGAAATCCTTTGTCGCACTTTCGCCCACTCGTTACGACTTTTGCGCTCGAAAAACTTATATGAATTACTTCTTTGTACTTATACCTACACGTGCGCCCTATTTTCGTTATCAAAATATCCAAAAAGATAGATTTACAAGCCATCAAACATCTCAGTCGATCGCTCACATATGAGCGGGGCTATTTGAATCAGGTGACCTGTGACGCGAAGGGGATATCCCTCCCAAAAATAGTAACACACGTGTTCCATACCTCGTTGCTTGTTTACAACATATTTTCATACATTTAGGCAATCAAAACGATTGTATGGAGATTTTCGTTTCCAATCTAGACTGACTGACCACCCCTGCTTTTTCAACAGCTGTTTTCAAAGGAATTGCTGATGAGTTTTCAGTGCTTCATATAATATAAGATTATTGCTGTCACCTTCACAGTTCCATGGGTGTCTCTGTACTACTCCTGAATATTTGCCTACAAAACACAGTTTACTAATTGAATATAGGACTTAAATATTTAATGAGTTCACGAATCAATTCTCTATAAATTTCATGTATACCCAAAAACCTTAAATATTTCTCATTTCACAACTCTCCTACCTTGAATAATATTTTAAATATTTCCATGTTGTATTAGGTCTCAAGCATCAGCTACAAACCTTGACAAAATCATCTTTTCATTTCCATATTAGCAACCAAGTGGCCAAAAAGTGTTATTTGTCATCATGAATTATAACCAAATACTTAAATAAGGGATACATCAATAAATCAATTGTTGAATGAGGGCTTCATTCAAATTACAGCACACTACCAAATATCGTACTTAAACTCTTGTGCATACACCATTGGACAGAAGGCTTTGATTTATTAGGTCAACTGAAGAAAATTCATTTGCAAACATTACAGTACCTCTTATCTTTTGACAGCAAAAATAGCAGGCTTTCCAAATTATCAATGAAGTGTTAGTTTAGAAAGTCTGCTTTTCAAGGTGCAATAATTAGATGGATATGAAATTGTGCATGAAGTTGAATCCTTTGAAGGTATAAGTTTAAACTCATGTTAAATTAAAGTGATAATGAATAATTAACATTTATATGCACTTTATCTACTGGTATTCAAGGTTGAAAGTTGAGAGAAGAAACCATGGATGACACTGTGTGTGCCCATTGCAAGGGCAAGTTCATGAGAAAAACAAAGGGATAGAAGAGATATAGTTACAGCTTAGTGTCTATTTTTATGTGAAACTCACTGCTATAACTTATCAAAACAAGAGTCATCAGAAGATGACATATCCCCCCGGCCCGCACATCTTTGAAAGAACAAATCATCTGACAGTTACTAAAAGTCCAGCTTGATTTTAGACTAAGTGCAAATCGTTTCCATGGAAATCAT